ACCGTATGTTCGTAAAAATTACCGAGTTGATTCATAATTGCACACACAGGACAAATCAATAATACTACCAGTATGTGTAATACATTATGGTTAGGCCGGCTTGTACATAATCTGCGTTCGAAAGGGTGGTTTGGGTGAGGAACGGCTACAGGCCTTTTTTCATTAAAAAAAAATATAATATCTATGATGTATGTTTTGCAATCTGGCACACTCGGGTCCCTATATTGCTTCTCATCATTTCTCATTTGTATTCATTCTGTGCGTTCATATCTGTGCGAGTGTACGCATTCAATTTGTTCTGCCACTGGGCAATGTGTACATTGCATGTAGCCGACAAGCACATACCTGAGAACATGCACGTCATGTTTCCAACGAAATGGGTCATTGAATCTCCCTGATAAAAAACAACGATGACATTTTATGGGCCTATAAATCACCGCCGAAGGCTCACCCAGTTGATAACAGTCTGTACTTTTGTTTTTATTCTGTCTGATGAGGTGTTTGAGTGGCAGTTTATTTGTTGAGTGTGATTTCTACAATAATTTAAATCTTGGTAATTTTTTTTCAGTAACTTGCGGATAAAGACAGTTTGTCTGTTGTGTTAAAGAGGCACTCTTGATCTTAAAAAAAAATATGATTTAAAGGTTCCAGTAGATCTAGGATTATAAAGGTGCTTTTAAAAAATTACAATAAAATCCTGGAAGAATTTTGGAAACTCTAAGAAAAAGCTACAGGGACATTCAAATTCGGGCATGGCTTTTTTCAGACTGAAGTCTAAAATCATACATTCTGAATCGGAGAGAAAGACATTATCAGTATAGAAAGAAATGCATCTTTAAGATCTTTCATCCAATTTTCAGACTTTTAAAATGGACAATATCATCGAATTAAAGTGGTTGAGAAGCAGATTGTTTTGCTTAGGGCCTGTTGTGGTCTTGGAAGTTCCCACAAAGGGAAATGTACTGGTATGATTGAAAAGTTTGCGAGGAAAATGTGAGTTTGCCTTCTGCAACCTTTTTTGGTTTTCAGTCTTTGGCATTCTTCATTAATTTATAAAAGTCTATTATTACTGCTCATGGGAATCAACTTTAATAATGGAAGTTATTTTAGACGTTCGTAAAAAATTAATTAAGTGAATTTGTCATGTAGCCAGGGGGAAAACGGTTCAGCTCAAACTGTCAGGCACTTCAGACAGCAATTATGATAATACGGCGTAGTTCAACTGGAAATCAGTTAATCTTTACCAGCTGACCTTATCAGGCCAAGACGCCAGAACGCAGGCCTCACCCGGATGTGGTTGAGTTCACAGTAACACCGTTCAGACACTGTGTAAGCAGATAAAGTTGATCTGGTGTCGCTTGTAGATGTCCATGGGGATTTAACCTTTGAGGATTAAGCAGAAAGTTGAACCATACATTGTACCTGCAGGGGGCTATTTAGATACCGGCTAAGCACAGACATCATTTTCTTAGCAGAAACGGGTTACTATAGGCAGCCAAAATGTCGTGCAATGTGTTCTGAGTTGGACTGGTTCAAAGTTGATTTGGGCTTAGCAGAAAAATATGCTAACGAATGTAGGTTTTACAGTGGCTATAGAAAAATAATTGGTCACTACATACATGTATATATAAAAAAAAAAGTGTTAAGGGTACAGCTTAGATTTATTTAATCGTGCTTAAGTCAAAAGCATGGTTTGCATTGTGCCATTGAAGTTAATTTGGATAGATGCCTTATAGCAAAACATTGTTCACTTAGCAGTTTCTGTGTAAAGTGAAATTGTGACATGGTTGAAAGATGCTAAAAGAAAGCTTTAGATACAAAAACAAACAAAACAAAAAACAAAATACCATTCAGCTCCCGAAGGATTGCCCAAAAGAAACATTGTTTCTGTCTAGGGGTTCTCCAACTCCAAGCTGAATACATGAAAACAACAATCAATAAATATGAAATGAAGTTTTAACTATACAAAAAAAGCTAATAAAGTTTACATAAAGTTTAGAACAAGGTTGAAATCCAAGGCATTTCAAAGCTAACCGCCTGATCGTTTTTGATGGGCAGGGACTAATAATCTTTCCTTTATCTGGAAGGGAACAATTTTTTTTCTTGCCTGGCCGGTTGATGATGAATCTAATGTTACAGTGTTGGTTGACCTATACAGTGCCATAGTGCCAACTTGTTTAAATGCTCTGCCTGTCAGCTGGCGTGGGTCTAATAAGCCCCCAGCTTCATCAGTCTGCCAATGGCCTTGGCCGTCATCGTAACTCTGTCTTTCCCTGGCAACGGTTGAGAAGCCACTCGGGGATTTCTGTTTAGGAAAATGCCACAAATGAAAAAAATGTATATCATTTTGAAGCTTGTTATCTGTATTTTATTGAAATATAGTTTATTTCTGACAATGTTGAACAGTTTAGCTGTTACATTTAACTGAAAAATTAATCATAAGTACACAAAAAAAATAAGTTTGTCTGAGTACGTCCGACACCTTGGTGTTTTGAGCCGATTTCTACTACAGCAATACAGTTAGATGAATAATGTCTTTTTAAAATCATTGTATAACCCAATTGATGCGTGTAATCATAATTAAAATCCACTTTATGATTATAAGTTTTGTTATGCACACTGTTGAATGGTCCAAAATGTACGTCGGACACCATGGAACCGCCCACATTCCTACATGGATGTAACTTTGATAACTGTCCTATTCGGCCAACTGTCCAATTGACCTATCGCCATTTGCAAGTTAGCTACACCCCTTAGACAACCCTATGGAATTTTGTACGTTAAGTTTTGTTTGTCTCAGATTTTGCGCGTTCCGCGTCCATTTGTATATCATCCAATTGGACAATCTTTCACAAGCTGCATTGACGCGATTCCACCGTGATAGGTCAATTGCCAACTGTCCTATTTGGTGCGATTGAGTCCGTGAATCCTATCTGATGTAGGTCCGCCATCAGAAAAGTGCCCCCCTCCCCCAACCCCCAGAAGAAATTTCAGTAGTTTTGATTGTTAAATAAAAATCATAGCTTTGTCAATAAAAATGTCTGAACAGTGTTGTCAGTCAACACTATTTTTTAGAATGATGAGTGAATTTGCTTGTAAAAACCCTGAGTAATGTTTTTGTGTTAAAAGTTTAAGGACTTCATTTTATTTCTGATTTTTTTTTACCCCAAGGGAGGGGACTGCATGGTTCATTTTTGAAAATTTTACTCAAGAACTGTTTTGGATTGGAGTTTGGATCTGTATTTCAATAAGTAGGCCTACACTGTGCATATTCAGGCATTCGTGCATGCACAGGAACTTTTTTCCTCACAAAATATTTACTCAAGATATCTATTTCAAATAAGCCTTTCCTTAAGCACGCTCCGCAGTGCATTTCCATTTTGTTACAGGAGGACTCTCCAACTGAACTCTTAGAAATTCTTGTGCCTTTTTTTGTGTGCGTTTCCATGGCAACACGTGCGCCAATGGCAAGATTTGGGGGGGGGGGAGGGAGTGCGGAAGCCAATCTGTTGCTCGGGCCGGAACAGGGATTTTGTTGTTAGAGACTGCCTTGAGGATGGAAGGTTTCTTGAATGAACCGTACTAATGATGTGAAGTAATGGGGAGTTTGTGTGTTGGACAAAGATTGATTATATTGTTAGTTTTCACCGCAAATGATTTCTGAGTAAAGCATGACGTAAGTTTGGGATCCTTAGTCTGAACATTTCGGCTGTGTTTATCTGTTTATCAGGGATCGATTTCACGGACTTGTTAAGCAGTGAACACAGAAATTTGCTTGCAAAACAAAAATGGATTACCAGCCAAAACGCCATGTGTTGAATATTGCATATGGCTGGTTCCCTGCTGTCTGTTGCTGAGCACATATATTTTGCTGAGCTGAACGATATTTTCTACTGATACAGTTGGTTTGTGAACTGTTGCCCAGGCATGCCGCACATGTGCGTTCAGTTCACTTGTACAATATGCAGTGGAAGGGTCCATGCAATGAATTTTTCCTAGGAACACATTTTTTTGCAACTGTCTACTCCTCTAAAATTATGAAAACTACTTAACATCCCTTCTTGGTTAAAGTTAGTAAAAGGTGCACTTCTTCAAACTTTTAACTTTACAATTCTTTTGTGGACAGCTGAGGGCGCTGTTGCTGTGATGTCATATCAGGAAGACACTGTTCAAATGAGGTTTTCTGTTCAAATTGCTTACGCAAAATTTGCTCATTGAAAACATTTAGTGAGAAGGGGTTGCTCATTAGCTTACTGCCATGTACTTACACAACAACGAATCACCAAAGAAAAGAAAATTTATGACAGCAAAATATCCAAAATTCTAGCACCTTCTTTGTGCTGATATAGCTGTAACATTGAGGCTTCTGCCTGAAATGACATCACAGTTTGCTCATGAATATGCAAATTTGCATTAGCATAAAAACCGAAGAGGCACCAAAATACTCTTCAAAAATGGCAAAACGAAAATCGAAATTAAGGTAAAATGGGATACAAAGGTGCATTGTCAAGGATTGCACTGAAGAAAATTACATTGCATGGGCCCTTTAAAGTCATATACTGGTATTGTCTACATGTATCCGGGAGCAATGTTTGTATTCTGTTACACATGGCTGGTTGCATAATGTACATGCACTTCAAAGGCCATTTAGTGTATGGCATTTGCGTTTGCCTTCAAAATGTTGAGAAAATGATTTAATTTCTAAAGAAAAATCTTTTTAAAATTTTTTTTTGTTGGGGGGAATAGGAGCCATTGGAAAGATTATAATAAATGGTATTTCAAGAATAATTTTAACGTAAATTATTTTTTTTGGAGGATGAGGCTTAATCAGTTGTTAAAATATAAGTATAATTTAAAATCTTTAACTTGGTATTTTGAGTCTGCTGTAATTTGGGTAATACAGAGATTTTAATCGCATCTATTTCCAAATGAAACCTGTGTGCTAGATGTACGCAAGTTTGCCTTAAATCTTTTGTTCTTTTTTTTTGTCTGTCTTGACAGTGCCGGTCCAAAAGGTGACAACATCTATGAGTGGGGATCGACGATTATGGGACCCAAAAATTCCGTCTACGAGGGTGGTGTCTTCTTCCTTGACATCAACTTCTCCCCCGACTACCCGTTCAAACCGCCCAAGGTATGTTTCCCTTCCTTTTCTCTGGCTTTACCTCCATTTACTTGGACTTCACTTTTATAGGCAACCTGCTTAGCCAAAAACGGCAAAGGGGGTCAGTTTTGCCCGGCTGTAAAGTTGCTGCATTGTCAAGATTAGTCTTCACTTTTTCCTTCCACTGCTGAGAAGCAAACTTCTCAGCATTGTAAAAAAATCACACAGACGACTTTTCAGGTGCTTTCAATTTTCCTAGTAATAGATTTTTTGGGTCAATTCTCAACTTTACAAAAAATTTACCTGAAATTTAAGTGAAATTTTATCAGGCTCTAAACATACCCATTCATAAATCTGGAGTTAACCTACCCGTTACAAGTTAACAGAGACATTTATTTCGGCGTGATTTTCCAATTTTATTTTGGCGTGATTTTCCAATTTTTTTTAAGTGCACAGTGAACCCTTTCAAAATGCGCCCCCCAATTTTTTTTTTTTTGGTTTTCTGACAAACCTCTAGTTGGGTGTGAGTAGAGATATATAATGGTTTATCAGAATTTTTTCTACTTTATAGAAATTTTCTGAGATTTGTTCAAGTGTGCCACATTAGGGAACACTCAGCCGATTTTGTGCCAAATTTCCGGATGCCACGGTTTTGAATTTCGGACTAAATTTCATGACACTGAAGTTGTTCACAAAGGTTCAACAGCAAGCATTATTAAGGCAAAAGTACCAGTACTGAATGAAATTGAATTTTGTCAACAAAGAAGTTTGGCAACACCGCTTGAGGAAAGTCGGGGAACACGTCAAAGTACGCCACGTTAGGGAACACCACTATATATGATTGGATTTTTGCTAGGAATCCAAGGTTGCTTACAACTTTTTCTCTCTCTCAGCTAAGCAGATTTATGTGATCAGTATCCCTGTGCAATATTGCCCTATATTGTAGACATTGTTTTGCTCTGTACGTGTACTTTGTTCAGAAATATAGCAAATTGACTCTGATGTTGTTGTGTATTCTTCAATATTGACCAGGTGAAGTTTCGTACCCGCATCTACCACTGCAATATCAGCAGCCAGGGAACTATCTGTCTAGATATCCTCAAGGACAACTGGAGTCCTGCTCTGACCATCTCCAAAGTCCTACTCTCCATCTGTGCTCTACTCTCTGACTGCAATCCTGGTGAGTACGCAGACTCTAGAGGGCGCCCTGCAACAGTGTCGTAGTCGATCCATCACAAGGGTGCAACCCAGTAAATAGGCTAAAAGTCTGTACGCCGAGCTCATGAATAAAAGTTATACATTCAAATGATTCGATATTAGAGAGTTCTGAGAGCCATGGAATTGGGGGATTGAAGACATATGGCACTGTACCCCCTTTGGCCAAGACTTTGACAAGTCAGACTGCTACGTCCAGATTTGGAAACGATTTACTATGATTGGGCCACTTCGCATATCTACATGTACAAATTGACATTTTTAAAGCAGTGTGAAAGTAATTTCCAGTATTAAATTCCCTTCTATCTCCCCCCCCCCCCACCTCCGTTTTTCCTTTGTAGCTGACCCACTGGTGGGCAACATAGCAACTCAGTACCTCCATAGCCGCGAGGACCACGACCGGTTTGCAAAAACGTGGACGAAACGCTACGCAACATGATGCCAGCCAACACCGTCTAAGGTGGCAACTTTTGTCTCGTCTTTTTTTGTTTCTCGCCCCGCAGTGTCTTTATTTATGTTTTATTTTGTACAGCATGTTCACCCTTTCCTATTTTCCCCCTGTTTAATTAAGATGAATTGTGTTGCAGTCCAGGTACCAGACTTAAGTGTTGTAGGGCCTAACACCAAGCATTGAGGGCCATTTCCAAAATGGCGGTTTTGTTTATGGCTCGGGTTTCATCCTAGGCTTTGTTCGGAGAAAGTGTTCTAAAATTCAGAGGAATATAGGATTTGATGTCCCTGAAGCTGAACACGGACCTATAGACTCTTTGCACAAGTACCCCCTCAACAGTTACAAAAGGGGCAATTCCGTATACTCGGATAAACACGTCAGACACTTTAACCCTAACTCCCCAGCATGATTTACTAGGAACCATACCCATCCTGGCAAATTCCAACACCATATGGGAAACTGCACACGCATCTTTCTGACTTTGTTTCTGGAGGTGTTCCAACCCAATGTAAAAGACTGTCAGTTTAAGGGTATTGTACCCATCCAGACAGATCCCAACAAAACATGATGATGGGTTGAATTCTGTGAGGGTTAATGAGCTGCTGATGGAAAAGTGAATGTGATACATAACTAACAATGTGACATCTAATGAGTAGAAAACAATTACTGATCAAAGTAAGGTACCACCACCTTAACGACCTTGTACATCATGTGGTCGGACGTTACATTGGATTTTACGGAATTGCCCAGAGGGAGAGTTGGGGGAAGACAACTGGGAGGAACAATCCAATGCAACCGACGATGCCTGACGCTCACGGGAAGATGCTTTGGCTTTGTGCACATTCAGAATCAAATACGCGCAAGTCATGCGTACTTCGCGCCGTATGCGCATGAACCAGTATGCGCATGAACCAGTATGCGCATGAACCAGTATGCGCATGAACCAGTATGCGCACACGGTGTGCCCCTCCCACTAAGGGTCTTGAAAGTGGTAAAAAAAAAACCGCCACCTACTTTTCGTGCACTGAGTCTATAGTGTTGATGAGAAATCTCCATTTACCCTCATTTTGTTGGCGCTGGAAAAAAAAAAACACTCAATTTTATCAGGTTTGCCTTGTAAATGTTTTAAAGAGTCCACTAATTTGCTCAGTATGTTAACGTTTGGTTATAATTTGTTCAGTGATAAAAGCTAGTTGTGTATTTACATACATGTACATAACATAGAAACCATATGTAGTTGTACTGTAAGCATAGAGAGTAGGAGGAGTAAATATTAGGTAGATCACGTATGCACAACGTCCGTGGTTTCATTATATGGATCACAAAAGATAGAATTATATGATTCTTTTAAATTGTTTTTTTTTGTGGGGGGGGGGGGGTAGTCATTTCAGACAATGAGGTGTCATTTTTGATGGTGAGAGTGTTAAATTCCACTGTAGCGTCGTTAGAGGAGAGATTTGTATCACGTTTAGCGAGTAGGCAAATATTGGCCACGTCCTCGGGGGCAGTGTTTTTAGTTTAATGGATTTCCCCCCGCCTCACGTGCTGTCTGCAGGCTTGCGACTGCACTCACTGCAGCAGTAAGCTTTACAGTGACGACACGCACTGCGGAAACTGGGAAAATGGTTGACGCGGGCGTAGGATTTCACACGACAAAGAGCAGTGTCGATATCAGCGGGAACACGGATACATGTCTCTGTGTGCGTACGTTCCAGTTAAGCCCTTGAGTTTTGTACACTTAACGTCTACTGCACATGATTTTAGTGTGCACTAATGTATCTACTGATTGCAGAATCTGAGTCTATGTGAAGCACATGGTGATCTTTGTTGATACCTGGTAGGGCAATAGACCTTATGCGTTGAGGCGGAGCAAGAGGGCATTGGTTTTGTATCGCTTGGGTATGCATGAGTAAACCGTTTGTGCATTCATTGTTAACCAAGAACACCTGCTGAGGTACCTGCAATGCATAAGGTCTATAGATGATCAAGTTATAACGAGTTATATCATTGGCAGGTTTTGTGATTTGAAGATTCGGGGTGCCCCCCCCCCCCAAAAAAAATCCTGAAATTGGTTCAGAGTATTGCTTCGATAGTTAAGTTTTGCATGTACATGTATACATGTATTGGCAACACCGAATCTAGTAGTTCAAAACTAAAATTATACAATTTTATGAAATTAAATGAATTCACTGAAAAAAAAAATGGCAGTTCAGTTTTTCTCCTCTTTTGGTCAGAATTTTAAAGGCATGAATACTGCTTTAAAACGCTCTCGATATGTACTGTCCGACAGTCGGTACCTTCTGACGAGATCTTGACCAGGAGTGGTGCCATTGTTAAGACTTGTGGACTAGTAGGCAGAAGAACAAAATCATCAAAGTTTCAACTGTGCAGCACTTACAGCTATTTGTATTTTGACTAATTTTTTTAAAAAAATCTTACAGATTACTTCCCAATGCAGAAATCAACTCCACTTTCAATGCAGGTGCACTGAAATTCACTTCTTCTTCAAACGTCCAGGTCATTTACATTGGAACAAGTCACAATATTTACTCCTGTAAGCTCAGAAACGTGCTGCTTCAGATGAAGCACTCGCATTTTTTCCATTTCATCTGTGACACAGGATGGCAAAAATCCAATCTCCCGATTAGCTAGTCCTGTGAGCTGCACGCCCACATGAATTCTCTGGATGATTCTGACAAGAGAACGTAAGATGAACTGATAAATTATTCCTGTATGACGATTTGCACGACATAAGGACTTGATCCTGTAGGCCATATGGTTTCCTCTTCCCACCCCGATTTAGTGGATTGATCACTGTTGAAGATGAATTTAAAAGTGCAGGTTTTGTTAAGTAACTACCAATACACCATCTGTTTAAGAAACCGGCTGACTGCATGTTACCAAGTGTATGAATTTAATCAAGTAACCGAGACTATTTTTTTAGGAGTTAGGAATTAAAGATCTGAGGTTAATGTTTGACTAAAATAATGAATGCAACTCAATTGAGTGCCAATTTGAAAGAAGAAATTTCTGTGCAGTGATTGCAATGGCATTATAACGTCGGCTATTGGAACCCCGTTTAATTGCCTTGGGCCTCGAGTCATGTGTGTTCATCATACGTGTACATAACGGGATAAGTATACAATTGCAGGTGTTTTGTACTCCAACAAATCATGTACTGCTGATATCTCTTCCTCGTCATTTTTCAGTGAATAATGGACTCAAAGCATAACAAGGCCTACAGATTGTATAGCATTACCGTATCCTTTAACCGACAGATATGGAAGTATTCTCTCCAATTTTTGACTGCGATTAGGCGCGTTCCTCTCTCATGCAATGATGCAACTTGTACTAATTTTTGTTGGGAATTAGTTGCGCACACCCAGAGTATTTTGCACATGCTAACCAATCGATCACAGAATGTGGCCTTCCTATGCTCTCATGAGAATGCCACACGGTTTCTGCGTGGAGTCTGTTTGGGCAGAGGAGTGGAAATTCTGTTTTTCCCCAAACACCTCCAATTCAGTTGGGAATAAAAGTTGATTGCAATGGTACAAATTGATTGGAGGTATATATAGGAATGCATGTGTGTTGTATTTCCCTTGCGTAGTCATCGTTGAGGTATTTTTATTTTTTTGGTTTTTTTTGGAAACACACAAGAGGTCTAAAAATTTTCCCTTCAAAGTTGGCTACAGTGCACAGGATCTGTTAACAGGGCTCCCAGCACTTTGTGAAAACAAAATTCCCTGAGTTCCCCTGGAATTTCCAAAAAATTAAGAGAATTTGTTCACTTTTACGAGGTTGCTGAAAAGTCAAGAGATGGTTGCAGCAAAGCAGCTAAGTTACTGATAATACACAGGCAAGCGATGGCCTCCCTCCACCCCTTATAGCCATCCTTTCCTCACCATATGCAACAGAGATGCACATATGCCAAACTGGCTAAAGCCTTCCCTTCTGGGTATTTTTTCCAAAATTCCCAGAGTTTTCCCCCACTGGAAAGATGTCAACTCATTTTCAAGGTTTTCCTGTTTTCCACAGTACAGAGATGTCAACCATTACTCTTTTGGAGTAATTATTAGGATTTTGAGGCATGTCACTACACTTGAAAATTCCAGCTGTCCTATACGCCAACATTGTGGCTACTCTGAAAAGTACTGCGGTTACTCTTAAACTTGACTGTTGTCCTATGTATTTACATTAGCATTACTCTTTGCAGGAAGAATCATTACTATTTTGTAGTCTGTAAAGTTGGCATCTCTGCGAGTAGCTGGGAACCCTGATTATTGAGGTATCTTGATGTATTTGAGATATCCATGCAAATTGCATCTTGAGCAGACAGTGTGGCTTTTATTTTTTCAGAACAGTCCTCGCAGGCCATGCAGTGTGCAGTAGCATAAACTGAGCGTGATTTCAGGATGGTAATTAACTTGGCCAGAAATGAAATCACGGCTTCACCTATGAGTCCCAAGGGAGTTCACTTGCTTAGGAGGGAGGGAAGGGGACGCGGGCGAGGTTTGAAATATCCCAGGAGAGCCTCTGATGTGACTTATATTGTAGGAACAGCTATTACATTGGTCTAGTTTGAGGCTACTCAACCCCAAGAATCTAATCAGAGTCTCCGATATTTTCCAGTCCAACGTGGGGGATGAATCTTACAGAAGAAAATTGCCTTGGGTTGAAAAGTGGAGTTTTTTTGTGGGGACATGTGGCTTTTGATTGTGATAACTTTTTGTGACTTGTAGTAAAATCTCATCTCAAGCATTCAACCTGTTGTAACATTTGACAAAAAAAACATTGCCAATTGGAGGTTGTGCCAGTTGATATCACATTGGGCTGCTGGGCTTGGGATGTCATTTTGGGAGCTCGTAAAAAAAAAAAAAAATCACATTATCTAGTTTCCATTTTCCGTTTTGCAATGTTACGTCCAGCAGGTTCATTGTGTTTGGGTGACAAACTTGCACGTATACTGGGTCTCTGTTGTATGTAATTTAACGTCCAGAGTATAGTTTCACATATTTGTAATCCAGTCAGGTACATGTATCTGGCCAATTTAAACATGTAGTGATTGTGATTTTAATACAGAATTCACAAATTGTGAGGCGTTGGTTCTGGAAAAATGAGACGGAAGTGGGTATGGGCTGAAGTGGAGGGGAAAAAATGCAAAAATGCAAAGAAAAAAAAATGGTGAATTTTTGTTGATTTTCAGATTTATTGATATTTGTAATCTTTGATACCCCGGTATGTCTACTTCAAATATTGCAAAGAAATGGTATAAAAAGAGTGGATTAAAAATGTTTTCATTGGAAAAACAATTAGCATCTTTCATGTTCACGACTACAAAACAGTCAAAACTATAAAAGCCTTTCTCAGCATTTTACTTTTTGACTTGTCGATAAATGCAAACTTGAAAACGGAACGCCCCATTGAAACGCATCGAACATTGTTGTAGGATAATTGTATTCTCTTTCCTAATACCCGCAAACCCTCATTTCGACCTCTGCCCAGTTCGGTCTCATTTTGCCAGAACACCTCACAAATGTCATATTTGTCCAAAAAGAGGGATTGTTCTCCTTTTCTTGTATAAGCAGCAAATGTATCTCTCCTATAGAGTATCTTCCTTGATCTTGGGCCAGTTTCACAGATCTGCTAAGCTAAGTTCACATATGCTTAGCACATACAGGTCACCAACCAAATAGTTATGCAATATATACTAGTGACTGGTGCTTAGCTTTATGTTGGCTTAGAACTTAAGTTTGCTAAGCAATATTTTCTGCTCAGCAGATCCGTGAAATTGGGCGCTGGCATTTTGTAACCCTCCTGCTGTCTGAACAGTCACAGACAGTCAAAAAGCAATCAATCCTCTTTCCCTGCCATGCCTTTTTACACAGGCTTGTCACCAACAGTCAGATCATAATTTAAGCAAGCACTGTGACTAGTCAAATTCAGTCAACAGACAAAAGCAGGCAAGTGGTTGGCACAGCTGGCTTATCAATCACTTACAGTCAAAGCATAGCTGTATCAAGTTACAGTCACAGCCAGCCAATCCTGCTTTATGTAGGCAGGGAGCGCTCAACTGTTAAAAACAGTCACTTGACTGATTTTGACTGAAAGGACAACTTTTGCATAGAATGTATGTTTGCAGAGGAGGGCTGATGATGTGAATCATGCACCTTTGACACCACACATCTTTACTTCAAAAAATTCCTGTAGTGATTTTTGTCGCCTCGTGTTTCATTGTACATGTACATGCACTTTTTTCCTTTTTTGTTTTTTTATGTGAACAGTAATGCAACATCAGAGATGCATTTTAACCATTAATTAGTTTCCCCCGATTGTGTATATTAGATTCGGTGTAGACAGTAGGCTTTTTAAAAAATCCCTGTACAAAAATTACACAGAGACTATTTATAAAAAAAAATGAAAAAAAAAAAATGGGAAAAACACAAAAATTGATCCCGATAGTCTGGGACTCTTACCACGCAGTATTACGTCAATTTATTCAGTAGTAGGATCAGATGTAGTGAAAAAGGTAACTAGTCCGAGGAATGTATTAATAAACTTGATTATTATCATCATCTATTGAAACTGACATTGTTGTTATCTGCCTGTTCATTTCTGTGGTATGACTCGGGTTACATAGGATCCTGTTTTGATCAGTTTTGGGCCATGATGGGACAGGTTATTGGCAGTTATCGGATTACATAAAGGCACTGTCGATGGTTTCTAGACATTAAGAACAGCGACCTTGAAGAACAACTGAATGTTGTGTAATGTGATCGTCAGCTCTTTTTTGGGGGAGGGGAGGGGGTTATGAAATGTTACCGGCTCTATACAAAAATAAACTCTTGGTGTGGTAATGTGGGTTTCCCTAGAACATCATTCTGGGGTTTTTCTCTCGCCTCTAAAACTGTAATTTCTTCTCATTGTCTTCTCCCTATCTTCTTCCTATAGGCAGGTTTCTTCAGAATTGCGAGCTACAGTGCCCAGAGGGCGCTTTTGAGAAATCCTTGGTTTCATTACCGGAACTAATTAATAATAATAAAACATTTTGTTTTCTTTTCTTTTTTCTTTTCTGGGGTGGGTTGGGGGTGGGTCGGGGAGGGTCCAATCCTTTCCACATTAAAAAAAAACCCCATTGTTACCTTTGATAGAAGTCACCCCTAACAATGCTTGAAGCCACTAGGGGTTTACTCCAGGAAACCGGGAAAAAACGAAAAATTAAAAATACAAACAAAATACTGTTTTTGTTTTCCTGAGCTTAACTATGATACCATTAACAATGAACAATGAACATTTTAAAAGTAATCTACAACATTTGCTTTTGCTGTAATTTTCAGAAATGGAAGGATTTGGGGGTTAGTTTTTTTTTTAAGCAAGTATTGTTACACTAACCTGTTTACAGTTTCGTGATCACAGATGCTGGAAAAATCAAGGAAAAAAAACAGCTGTTCTTGTAGTCTGGTCCTTGACCCTAATTCAGATGAAATGGAGCAATTTATAGATGTTGGGGAATTGTCAGGGAACCAGACAAGCGGACTTGCGCCTTTTCACGGATGTGTAACCAATTGCAAACTAAATGTGGACTAAGTTTGGTGAATTCGGGGCAGTATTTAGAAGAAAAAAAATCAGTTTCTTCCCAACGATGGTCGGCTGACCATCGTTGGAAATGGATACAAAAATTCTACATTTCTTGAAAATGACAGCACACCAGGCGCCATGATTTCACAGGATGCTTGAGACAATAATTGACTTACAGTCAAGGTATTTCATAATAATTTGGTAGTTTTGCTTTTTGATGTTTGCAAAGGTTGTACATGTATATTACCCTTTCAGATCATTTTACAAATAAATCAAGCATTGGCACCCGACACTCATTTACACGTCTATTTCTTTATTCTGCAATTAAGTTATACACATTCCACTTACCAGCTAAAAAGATACACTGTATAAACTGTACAGGCAACCCCAAAACAAAGTCTCACTAAAATATTCATACATGTGGACAAAGATAAAATTAATATAATTCAACGGTTGCATTACAAGTCTCGGTCAAATTACGGAGGGTGGTAGAATAGAAAAGAAAAGATCTTTATAAAGAATTGCAATGTTATTGAAATGGAGAAGTCTGGGGATTGCCAGTGGTTGTAGTCAGGTACCCAATTATCTTTCTTGACTGAAACTGTGCCATATACACACATGGAGCAGTTTCAGTCAAAACAAACCACAACCACATCACATAATTCATAGAAAAGTTGATAGATAAAGCCAGCTGCCACCGCTTTTAGGGTTGAACTGCCAAGTGCTACATTTCACAGCCAACATTCATGTCATCTACAACAGTTTCTAGCGTTACTGTCACACAGTTTCCACCACATGTACAGAAAGTGTTGTGTGCTGTTGCATTCTTATGACAGGCAAGAGAAGACAGTTGCTTCAGACAGCTGGGCCAAATCTCAAAAAAATGTGCTTAGCACAAAGAAAGTCTGGCTTATAAAAGCAGGTTACCAGCCAAAACTCCACATGATTTTCATGCTATAGCAAACAACAGCTCAATACTAATCAAGAGCAATATTTACATGCACATCACGTGGAGTTTTGGCTGGTAACCTGCTTTTATAAGCTGGACTTTTTTTCTGCTCAGCATATTTTTTTGTGCTTAGCAGTGCCATGAAATCGGCCCCAGCACATGCCAGTTCTATCTTGTCTTTACGCACTTATTGGGATTGCGTTTACTCATCCTACGGGATAAAAATCAGCTGACTCTGCTTCCAATTTTACACCACTAACTGCAGTTCCAAACTTCCAATTAATCAAGGCTGCCAAAAATATATGTCCAATAACCTAATCCTCAAATACGAAAAATAGGGGCAGGCTATAGATCTGGTATGATTTAATGCAACAGAAAAAAAACCCAGAAAAATAAGTACAGGCTAATAAATTACGGAAAAATTGATATAAACTCTGTGAATAACCGTGTGAGTATTTGGCAACATATCCATGAGAAAATGGAGCACAATTCTATTGGGCCCAAGGTACAGATGTCAAACTCTGGAACTTGCACTTGATATTTGAAAAACTGCACTCTTAAGTTGTGGGACCAATATAAATATTTTCATCAGGTGAGCAGTTTACTGTCTCACGTTTTTGTACAAAATGTTCAGACTTGAACACATGCTGGCCCGCATTGCATAAGAGTGACTAGGGACGTGCATCAGAACCGGGTACCCGAGTACCCGACCGCTGATGTCAGGAATCGGTTCCAGATTATGGGATCGGGTACCCGTAACCAACTTTACAAATTACTCAGGAACTTCTCAGACAACGAAAAAGAAAGGTTTTGAAGTAATTTGTTGGGAATTTTCAAAATTAAAATTTGCATTTTACACCGTAAAGCTGTAAAGGCCCTTCAGACAATATCCAGGGTTTGAATTTTGAGGTCGGGTTTCTTTCATTGATACCTGGGTATCCATGTTTTACTCTAAGAGTGACTGCGACAAGAGTGACAATGCATTGGTAACGGATGAATTGATACTACTTGAGTGTGCAGAAAGTGAAAAAAATGTTAGAACAGTTTAACCATACATGTATGTACCAGAACAGACAAAGAATAATTATGGGTTTAACATAAGTGCACATTGCATGATTCCAGTATTTACAAAAACACTTCAATTAAATATTCCCAGTTATGAGTGTAATTTTGAGAGTGGGCAGGGGGAGACACAAAAAAATAGAAATAATAAAAAAATTACCAAACTGCAAATAGACCCTTTGCGTAGCAGCCATCTTAGGGGGCAAAGCGTCTGTTTTGCTGAGATATGCATGAGTGAAACTTTGTGCGTTCATATAATGATTTAACTAACAAAAGATACCCTCCAAGATGGCTGCTATGCGTGAGGTCAATTTGGGTTGATACTTAGGTAGTAGAGATTTACATTTAAGATGACACAGACTTATTCAAAAATCAGTTTTACAGAAAATAGACCTATCAATTTATCTCATCAAACTAATGTTGATTGAATGTTTCACTGTTCCTCTCCATTACGACGAACCATTTCCAAAGAGTTTCACCCTTTTTCAAAGTCTTTGAATCAAACATTTTGGACGTTTATTTGCAAGTTGGTGGGTTGTCATCTAGACTCTCCGAGTCTACATGTATGCCACACGTCAAATCATTTTGGATCTATCAAACAATTTATTCTTGTATTTATAAATACTCCCTTGCAATCTACAAAGATTCTCCACGTATACAAAAAGCATTCCCTTGTCATCTCGAATTCACTAATTTGTCCATTGTTGTAATTAGTGTTCATTAGGGTTCTCAAAATAATAATTGGGTTCCCCACAAACTAGGAGTAAAAGGTTTCTTGGGGGCACACGCTAAAAAAAGGGTTCTGGAGTCAAGAATTTGCTATCTGCTCTTAAACACAGCTGCAAGGGCGTCATTTTGCTGTTCCTTGCAAGAGATGTAGCACTGTGTGTACATATGCAGTGCACTACACTGATCAAACATCTCACTGCCAAGTCACAACAACCATCACTGGACAGTCCATGAGCAATTTTGGGCAGGGACCATTAGTCAACTTGTGGTTGATTTGTGACGTAACTTACACCTGCGCACTAATAGCAACGCGCAAACACTTCTAGTCAAACGAAGGTCCTGGCTCCCCGTTGTGCTGTATGATACCAGCGGCTATTGGTTACCAGTGATGCAACCATGCCCATGCTCCGGTTCCGAGTAGTCGACTAGAGTTGTCCAACAATCCTTTTTTTTTCAACTTCGTAGTATTATGGTTAACTATAGTTTGTGCCAAAACTTGCTCTATAGTGCATGGCTGATTCAGGGAACAGAACTTCATTCTTGCGTCGCCAACTACATGTTCAAAACGTCTTTGCAAGAAAAATCCTTATGCACAATGGATATCTAAGACTTTTGAGAGTGTATAAACGCGAGTATACATCCGTCAAAATATCGATGCAGAGATTAAACAAGAAACAAAAATTTGATACTAGGCAGAAGAATGTATACCTTAGCCATACTGGAACTGGAATCCTCCTGGGAAACCGCCGCCATAGTAACCGCTGTCCCGGTGACCGCCGCCACCCCCTCCGTGCCCTCCGAAGGGAAAGCCACCACCAGGGTGGCCGAAAAAACTGGTGAAGATCTGGGAGGGGTCAAAACCTGAACAATAACAACAAAAGTCCAAAATAACATTTGTTTTGGTTTAATTTGTTGGTATAAAATTTAACAATTTAAAATGCACTTCAGCATTTTACTCAACAGTTTTCATTTTTAAAATATTTTTTACTCTTTGGATATCCAAAACTATTGCAAAAATATATACAAATATATACAAACTGTGTACATAAGTTTTGTATTTATGAGTAAAAAATAGTACTGTTAAAGGTTTCCCAAACAGATCTTCAGCAGTTATTTGATAAACTATTGCTACATATGCCAAGAATACACAATATATTTCTAATACTAGGTTCTAGAAATCTACAGCACAGAATCATGAAGACTGCAATTGTTTTCATGCAGTTATCTTGCACGCTGCTAAGATCTCAGCCTGATTTCTATGGAAGATTTTTGGGGCAGTTGTGTTTTTCCCTGAGTTTTTGTTAACTGGATCATCTTGATTAAATGCGGGCCGCCCTTTGTCACACCCAGAAGGTGAACTCTGGATCGCATTCCGTGAACAAACTGCTGAAGATGTCTGTTGGGTCAAAGTCTGGGAAGTGCAAAAGACAGAACAATTTACTGAGGTTGCTTCAGACTAGGAAATAAGTAAGAAATCCCTCTCCCCAATCGAGTACAGCAAGTGTGTTGAGTACAGAAAGTCTCACTTGCTTGGTGAAAATGTTACACAATGGACTGACACACTCTACAAACAATCTAGATGCAAAAGAGGGGGGAAAACCAGAGTGTAGTCAGGGTTTCACTGACATGACACCACACATTCTACTCAGGAAACCAAGCTAACTTCAAGAGGAATACTCTGGGAGTGCATAGGCGCACAGAGGATGGTTGGTTTCAAATGGGTTACATTGTTCACAGAGAGGGGGGGGGGGGAACACTGAACTGTTCCAACACCATATGGTAAACTGTCCACAAAAACTGTTGGACTTTGATTATTGGTGGCATGCCTGACCCCATGTAAAGCATAATCAGTTAACTAGTGCAGTAGTCACTCCAACAGATTCCAACAAATCCTGGTGTTGGAGTTTGACAGGATGGGGATTGTTAGGGTTAACAGCGATTGTTGGAGGATTTTTGAAGGATTGAGGTAATGGTCACCCCTCCACTGAAGACACTCAAGAAATAATGAATGTATTTGGAGGATTGATGCTAAATCCAATTTTACATTCTGGCAACTGGGGGATTTTGCAGGAGTGAGGATGGTTCCTAGCCAAAAGTGCCCAGGGGGTTAAGGTTAATACCACTCAACATCGTTCCCTAGTAAAGATGCTACAATTTTGAGCACATACAGATGAACATTTATCATGAGTATTCTCTGCAAAACATGTAGAACCATCTACCATTCTTGCACGGAGGCCACATAGCCCTGAAGAAACGACAAAGCAAGAGTAAGTGCAACTTACCTCCAAATCCACCATCCATTTCTTCTAGATCCTGCCCGCTATCATATCTCATCTTCTTCTTGGAATCTGACAGCACGCTGTATGCCTCCCCTACTTCCTTGAACTTCACCTCCTCTGCCTTCTGCACCTCCTCCGACTTGCTGGAATGACGATCTGGGTTGAAACAAAACAATCCATCAATCAATCAATTAAACCATAACAGGTGTTAAGTCTGTGAGACCTTATTGGGCAGTGAACACCAGCAGCATCAACTGCCAATTCTGGGAGCTCATTACAATAAACAATGCTACAGTTTATTCCTGTGTCAGCAGGCAGCCCCCAGACTTTTACCCTCCTAGTCTTCTGCACTTCACAACCCTTCAAGGCAAGTTTTCCAAAACCTCTGTTGCCCATAGAGTTAGCACCCACACTTTGAGGTAATCTTCTGCAGAGTATGGATAACACTTCAAATCCCTGCACAGTTCTTGTGTGTGGTTACGCTCAGGGCAAGCAGGCAGATTCGGTCGCGCTTCACTGCTCTCCAGTGTTGTTTTTTGTGTGCAGTGACTCTCTGTGTGACACAGTTACTTTAACACTTCATATCCCTTCACCTGAAACTGACCTGCAGGATTTTAAAGAGTTTTACATATGGCCCTGAAAATTGACTTCCCATTAGGTCACGATGCGCTATCTACTGTTCAGCACAATGTTTATACTCATATCCCCAGCATTCCCTCCCCCATCCCAAATTAGAAAAAAAAACACTGGGGAGTTAGTAGAATTTATCAAGATCCAATAAAAATATTTTTGTCAATTAAAGTCAAAGGTGGTTTAGCACCGATTTTGACCAGCTGTCTTACCTGGATGGTGTAGCAATGCATGTTTCTTGTAAGCCTTCTTAATCTCGTCGTCTGTAGCGTTCTTGCTGATGTTCAGCATCTTGTAGTAATCTTTCCTCTTGCTCTTCTTCAGCTCAAACTTGGCATCTTGAAGAGCGGCCTTATTTTCTAAAAAAGAAAAAGAAAACGGGAAAAAAAAAAGGTCAAAACAGAGGTTAGAAAGAAGAAGTTCAAGTATGATGCTGGTTCCCGAGCGTTGATGTCAGGAACCGGTTTCAGATTATGGGATCGGGTACCCGTGACCAACTTTAAAAATAACTTAAGTAAAGTCTCACACAATGAAAAAGAAAGGTTTTGAATGTCCTTTGTAGGGGATTTTAAAAATGAAAACCAGACTACATGGGAAAACAAAACATATTTCATGTTTATGATGCTTGCAAAAGTTGCAGTTTACACCGTAAAGCTATAAGCTCACTGTACACACTTGTATCTTGCTGCATTGACGCACCGATGTGGCAGTATTATCGCGCCGACCTTTATGAACAATCTGAACAGCAACTTCCGAGATTTGAATTTTGGGGTTGGGTTCTTTAACAGGTACCAGGGTACCCGTGTTTTTTTTCAACTGGGTACCCGTTTCCCGTACTACCCACAAACGCACACCCCTTGTCAATTATAGTTACTTGGGGTCACTATTAGGGTGATGTAAATACATAAGTATCGCTCCAACCGCCAACCCACCCTCACCTCTAGATCTATCCATCTGACACACCTTCTCGTAATCTCGAACTGCCTCTTCGTATTGCTCCGTTTCCTTGTAACTGATCAAAATCAATTCAAATCAATTTAAAATCAAATCACATCAATTATTTAACTGATCACTCAACTGAGTGAAATTTGATTTTATTTCTTAGTTTCTCTCATACTTTGAGACAATTGTAAAATTTGTGCTTACTTTTTTCCGTTTCTCACAAACTTTGTCAAACAAACTTTTCAAATTCAAGCACTTCTTATTCATGATTTAGCTTCTGTCTTGTTTGTGACAAATTTTTCTTAGTGGATATTGAGCTTGCCAATGTTTTGTAAATCCACACTCACCATTTGGCCCTTCTCATTAGCGCCTTGAGATAATCAGGGTCCAGCTCCAGGGCCTTGTTGCAGTCTAGAATGGCTTGGTCTGGTTTCTTAAGCTGCAGACAACACATGACACACACACACCAAAAGAAACCCTAAATTAAATCAACTATTATGGAAACCCTAACCCTCAATATGATGCAACAAGATCTTGACTGAAAGTCTTTATTTTTGGGAGAGAGAAGGGGGAGGGGGGAGGGCACAAATATACAGCAAGCCGAGAGTGTGAATGTGGTCTCTTTTAAAAAAAATGAGCCTTAACCCTAACCCACCTCACTCCTCCAAAATCCTCCTGGCAGTTTTGGAGGATTCTAGAGGATTGAGGATGAATGGTGATTGAATCAAATGAGGATTCTGGAGGATTGAGGATGAATGGTGATTGAAGCACATGAGGATTTTGGAGGATTGAGGATGAATGGTGATTGAAGCACAAGAGGATTTTGGAGGATTGAGGATGAATGCTTTTTGAGGCAGGACTTTCGGATGATTTTGAAGGATTTGGCGTTGGTTATCCTTCATTTAAACACGAGTGCAAAATTTTGGGTTGAGGAGGATTTTGGAGGATTGACGATGAATGCATTTTGAGGCAGGACTGTCTGACAATTTTGAAAAATTTGGGCGGAGTTGAAAAATTTTGGAGGATTTTGGAGGATTGAGGATGGTTCTTAGCCAAAAGGGCCTAGGGGGTTAGGGTTAATGCACCATTTTCTATAAAAAGACAACTTTTCACCTTCGTCAACTTGGCCCCTCAACTGCACCAGTTTGACTATGGACGTCAAGCGAGGATCGTGATGGCCCGCGGTTGAGCGTTTGATTAGCCTGGCTGTCATGGCTAACCCGTCTGCCTTTACCCAAGTCGATCCGGGTGAGCTACTTGAATGCAGCCTAAACGAATGTAACCCTTGACCTTTTGACCTTAACCAACTTGACCTTTCAACTCGGTCCTTGTGGGTCTTACCTTGGAACACACGGTTGCTCTGTTGCAGTAGATCTTCGCATTAGTGTTAACATTCAGTGGATCGACCTCTAGCGCCTCCGTGTACAGGTCGTAAGCTTCCTTGTATCTGCCGCCTTTGAACCTTTCGTTTCCTTCTTCCTTCTTGGATTTTAATAATTTACATTTCTGCGAGAAAGATAGGAGAGGCAAATATTCGACCAAAGCCACGGAAAAAGAAATTGCCGTGAAATTGTGAATAACAACACAATAATGAAAGTGACTGTCTGCTTGAGTAACTTAAGGTTCTTTTTTGGGGGGGGGGGGAAGAGCAAAATACAGAACTTTTAAGTATGTACTGTTCTCGAAGATCTATTTTAAAGGTGGTTTTACCACATACAAATTTTAGTGAGAACAAACCCAATCCATTTAAATTCAACATGCTTTGCAATAACATAAATTACACCATGGAAAATTCTGTGAGCGTGATTTCAATATTTTTCCCAAAAGGATCCTGAATCGTCTCAATTTACTGTATGGTAACCCAGGGGCTTATTAACTCAAGTCCCATGAGGAGTCAGTGTGGCTAGGCTACACAGACAATCCGTTTGCTAACCATTGAATTCTGAGCTGATGACCACAATTTAGGCTTGTGTGGTGCTTGATTTTGAGAGTCCCAGCATATCGTCACAAAGATTTTGCGGTATTCTGCATTATCAGGTACTTTTCTAGGCGGACGATTATGTCATCATAATACAATAGGACACGTGGTGTTAGGGAAACTGCAAACAGGCAACATGGGCAGAACTTCAAAGGCCTTGCTGGATTACCAACAAGCACGTTTCGCCTTATCTAGACCACAACAAATTTAAACAATTATCAGTATAGTGCAGATCTGGCCAAGTTGTTTCTGTCACTTCTTATGAACACATTTGGCCAAATTTAAGAGGGAAATTAAATCGCAGTAATGAAATTCCATACCGCGGTCATCCGTATTTCGGTAATTTTGACATCATTCGATATTGTTCGGTATCAAAAATTTGTTGTGACTATGGTTTTACTGAAATACAGTCCAAGCCTACCACCATTCTGCTAACAGTGCTATCACAGAAACTGTGCGCTAACCCTACAAGCACAGAATCCTTCGTTGTGACATGTGTGGATGCGCACAAGTGAAGATTCCTAGCCAACCCATGAAACACACTAATAGTTCACGTGGAATTTCCTGCTAAAGTAAGAACAGTTTTTCTGTCTTAAAGGTGGGTACGGACAAACGGGAATTCGTTTAAATTGGCTTATCTAGCTCCCAGGCATATGTTCTTGGAGTGCTGAATGGTAACACATAGATGTTTTCATTGGATGACGTCAACCTGCCCCCACCTGTGGTTAGCCAAGCCATGAAATTGGGGGCCCCGATCTGTCTCGTTGCTTACCTTAAACGCTACTCTAGCTGAGGAATGGTCGGGGGCAAGCTTGAGGGTCTGTTGAAAGTGTTGAAGAGCCTTGTCCATGTTGTCTTGGTAATACAGGCACAACCCTCTCACATAAATGGCGTCTGCGTTACGGGGCTCCCGCATCAAGATACCACTGGGGGTAGAATTTCAAAATTAATGTTAAGACAATGTTGGGGAAACAGAATGGTTTCAACAGGCTTTGATGAGGGTCTCAAATACAATTTGGAAAATGCTCAAGCCCGTGAGAGGGTTTTTTCTTATCAAGGATTAAAATTGTGTCAGCTTTGTGTTATGTAACAGCAACAAAAATGGTACCTACAAGAAAAACACTCATTGTTAATTTAGATTTTTCTCAAAACGGTTCTCTCAAACGATCAGCATCATAAACGATTCACACTATAAGTGTTGTGTATAATTGTCATAGTTCACTTGTAGAACAAATATACGAATCATTTTGTATATTTTTTTCTTTCTTTTTACACATTTCCACAGCACATGTTGAAGATAAAACAAATAATTTTATTTTGTCCAGCACAGGGATGTTAGACTGAAATTGTCAAAATTGAGTAAAATTGTAAGATGCTTTTTCTTGATCAATACGTTGATACTTAAATGTGGGTCAAATTTCAAGGTGCTACGATAACTGATATGAGTATAACAAAAGTAGAACCTTTAAATGTGATTCTCTTAAAGGTGGGACCAAGGTTTGACAGTTCGATTATCCCTTCTGCTGGGAAGCTGACAATTAGGAAGCTGACTTACTTGACAGCTTGTGATGCCTCTGTAAACCGTTTCATCTTAGCCAAGGCCTCCGCTCTCTTGACTTTGAATTTGGTACACGCCGGCGAGTGGTCAATGGCTCGGTCCATGTTGTACACCACCTGTGACAGAGTTTCAAAGAATTGTAATTAAGTCCTCACAAAATCCTACAAATCTTCACAAATCCTAAAAAGTCCTCTTAAGTTATGACAAGTCCAAAAAAGTCTGTATAAGTCCTCACAAGCCATTACAACATCCTAGAAGTCCGCACAAATCCTAAAAAGTTCTCACAAGTTATGACAAGTCCAAAAAAGTCCTTATAAGTCCTCACAAGCCATCACATCCTAGAAGTCCTCAAAAAGCCTAAAAAGTCCTCACAAGTTATGACAAGTCCAAAAAAGTCCTTATAAGGCCTCACCAGCCATCACATCCTAGAAGTCCTCACAAATCCTAAAAGTCCTCACAAGTTATGACAAGTCCTGAAAGTCATCACAAGTCCTCAAAAGACATCACGAGTCCTCAAAAGAATCACAAGTCCTCAAGTTATCACAAGTCCTTGCAAGTCCTAATCAGTACTTGTAAGTCCTAAAGAGTCATTTCAAGTCCTCACAAGTCCTTAAAGTCCTAACAAGCCATGACAAGTCTACCCAAGTTTTAATCAGTCCTCACAAGTCCTACGGAATCATTACAAGTCCTCACAAGTCCCTAAAGTCCTAACAAGTTATCCAAGGTTATCACAAATTATCACAAGTCATCGCAAGTGATCACAAGTGATCACAAGTGATCACTAGTCTTCACAAGTCACAACAAGTCCTTCCAATTCATTCAAAACTCATCAGTTTCAAGTCGTTTGAAAGTTATTCAAATAAACCGTTACAAACGTTTTCCTTTGTCATTTGTTTTTGTTTAGAGTTCATTAATCAACATGCATTCCATCTGATTTCATCATGTTCTACAAAAAAGCATATGAATTCAAAATGCCTACGCTCAGGATGGCTTCAAAGTATCTCCGCGGGGAATGAGGAGTTAGCGCTCTAGAAATTTAATACAGTTTTATAGTTTGGGTTGATTGCAAACAGTGCCTGCAACAACAAAAACTGCACTCTACTGACCATGAAGAAGTGCATGTGACTTCTGGAAGTCTGTTGTGTTCGTGTCACCCCGACATATGGGTAATATGGATTTACTGTCAAAATTTCACGTTCACAGCTACGGAAAATCCAAACAGGTCAAGATCGATCAAGATTTAAAAAAAAACACCTTTGTGAAATACCTTTCGATAGTCTCCTGCGTCGAACGCCTTGTGGCCGTCTTGGTCATGATGCTGTACCATCTTGGCAGCCCTCATCTGACAGAAAAATACATGATTAATAAGAAGTAAACCTATGATACATCTGAATATTGTAGAAAAAGTAGACTTTGGAAAATTGAAAACAAAAAACGACTATAAACCATACCTCTGACTGAGCTTGTTTATTTCCCGGTTCGAAGTCGACCACTTGGTTTAGTGATCGGATCGCAGCGTCTGCAAAACCTAACGCTATGTGGCACTTGGCTTCTCGTAAATAACCCTGGAATGAATTTTTTTAAAAAGAATGTTTGTGAAAGATATTTTTTTTTTGAAATTCACTGTTCAAGGTTTATTTCAATGCAGACAACAAGCAGAAACTATAATTACAATATTAACCCCAACTCTCTAGGCATTTTTGCTGGGATGCAACCTCAATCCTGCAAAATTCTCCAACTGCCTCCATGTACAACTTGCATACAGCCTCAATCCTCCAAAATCATCCGTTATTTCTTGCATGCGGTCCTTGGAGGGGTGACCACTGCCTCAATCCTGCAAAATTCTCCAGCATTCACTGTCAATATGTTGAGGCAGAGCCAGTGGTATCCTGGAACAGTGTCGAGGATTTCAAGTATAATCTAGGCCTAAATTTATGCACGGCTGAGCATAAACAACACAAGGTCCGGCCTAAGACCTTGACACAGTGCATCCTCCAAAATCACACATTTTTGCCATATAGCCTCATTCCTGCAAAATCCTATATTTTACAATGAGCATTTTGGAGGATATGGAAAGGTTAGGGTTAAATTAGTGACGTAACACTAGAAATCTCCATGCACGCAACTGTATGCACAGCCAAGCTGTGAAATAGTGCTTAATGTTAGCACACTTTTCTACCATAGTTAGCACAACTTCTCTGCTAACTGTTAAACAGCGCCATGAAACTGGCCAATGGGTTCTCAATCTATATTCCCCACTCCTGCAAATGCCTCCAAAAGACCACCTTGGTTACGGTTAATTGAAGTAGACTTTTCCTTTTCTCTTGGCATACCTTGATCAGAGTGTTGTCTATTCTCAGCGCTCGTTGGACGTCCTCCAGCCCCTGTTGGTATTTATCCAACATGATGAACGCTGCTGCTCTGTTGTTGTAATAATTGGCACAGTCCGGACACATTTCTAAGGAAAGATAAAGATTTAACGGTTTGCAAGGTGGAGTCAGCAACAAGAGTAATGTTACGGTTGCACTATGTGACAAGGAATATCCATTGTGAGTTGGTGTGGTTTTGGATAGGTTAAATTCCAAAAAGGTTAATTGCAAAGATGCCTGCTGTGCCCAACTACAGACGACCATAGTTGGGACAGTACGAACTATAGTTTGAACTGTCCCATTTCTGGTTTGGACTGTCCAAAGTATAGTTTGAACTGTCCCAATTATAGTTTGGACTGTCCCAACTATAGTTTGGACTGTCCCAAGTATAGTTTGAACTGTCCCAAGTATAGTTTGGACTGTCCCAAATATAGTTTGGACTGTCCCAAGCATAGTTTGGACTGTCCCAAGTATAGTTTGGACTGTCCCAAGTATAGTTTGGACTGTCCCAAGTATAGTTTGGACTGTCCCAAGCATAGTTTGGACTGTCCCAAGCATAGTTTGGACTGTCCCGAGTATAGTTTGGACTCTCCCGAGTATAGTTTGGACTGTCCCGAGTATAGTTTGGACTGTCCCGAGTATAGTTTGGACTGTCTCAAGTATAGTTTGGACTGTCCCAAGTATAGTTTGGACTGTCCCAAGTATAGTTTGGACTGTCCCAAGTATAGTTTGGACTGTCCCAAGTATAGTTTGGACTGTCCCAATTATAGTTTGGACTGTCCAAGTATAGTTTGTACTGTCCCAATTATAGTTTGGACCATCCCAAGTGTAGTTTGGACTGTCCCAAGTATAGTTTGGACTGTCCAAGTATAGTTCGGACTGTCCCAAGTATAGTTTGCACTGTCCCAAGTATAGTCTGGACTGTCCCACGTATAGTTTCGACTGTCCCACGTATAGCTTGGACTGTCCCAAGTATAGCTTGGACTGTCCCAAGTATAGCTTGGACTGTCCCAAGTATAGCTTGGACTGTCCCAAGTATAGCTTGGACTGTCCCAAGTATAGCTTGGACCGTCCCAAGTATAGTTTGGACCGTCCCAAGTATAGTTTGCACTGTCCCAAGTATAGTTCGGACTGTCCCAAGTATAGTTTGGACTGTCCCAAGTATAGTTTGGACTGTCCCAAGTATAGTTTGGACTGTCCCAACTATAGTTTGGACTGTCCCAACTATAGTTTGGACTGTCCCAAGTATAGTTTGGCCTGTCCCAAGTATAGTTTGGACTGTCCCAATTACAGTTGGGGCCATTGCTATAGCTGGGACGTTACATGTGCAAGAGTCGACTGACCGATTGCTTCTGTATAGAGCTGGATGGCCGCTTCATAGTCCCTCTTTTTGTAGCAGCAGTTGCCTTCACTCTTCTTTGCCTCAGCAACACTGAAATAAAAGAACAATAATACGTGCATATGTAAGCTTGTACAGTAGCTGTTTATTAACCCTCGTGCTATTTAAACAGTCGCAGACAGTCAAAATTTCCATCCACTTCCCCTGCTTTACTTTTAACACAGGCTAGTCACCAGCAGTCAGATCATACACTTGGTACTTGGTAGGTTCTTCTCCTAAGGACTTCCACAAGGGAGTATAACTAGGAGGCCAGAAACACCAGGGCAAACCCCTTCTCTTAGCGAAGAGTGTTACTGGGTTCTTTTACATGCGTTAGGCCTTATACAACACACGGGACCTCCGGCTTAACGTCCCATCCGAAGGACGAAGCAATAATGGTTTAAAGTGCCTTGCTTAAGGGCACAAGTTTCCGGGCCCGGGCTTCGAACCCACGCCACTGTTGCCTCTGAAACACCAGAGTATGAGTCCGGTGCTCCAGTGCTCTTAACCGCTAGGCCATGACACTCCACTTGATATGTCAAGCTGTATACAACGCCACGTTCACGGGTCTAATGTCAAGCTAGTCTTGGCCCAAGACGTCACTGATCGATAGCGATGGTTGCATTGTTAGAGCGACCTTGCACAATTGTTTTTTTTTACTTTCTCGCATAGGCCTACACACACTGAAGTCTTCGGAATCTTGCAGCAATGGGGGCATGGCTGTTTTGTGTAAATTGGACCGTTGGTCATGTTGGTGTAAAGCCCTTGTTAATATCTTCTAACATCATCTTCCCATTTGATACTCACTCGCACGGCGCGGGGGTATCACTGCATTGCATATCTCATTCATTTGCAATGCTTGCCAACAAAATCTGTTGGTCACATTTTTAAACATAGGCCCTAGGCAATGCTATTCATTGACATTGGCATTGCTAGGTATGTTTCAACACAAACTGCCAAACTGGCATATGTAAAAGAGACTGATAGTGATACAAATTTATAAAAATGATAGGCTCAATAATCATAATAAATAGGCCTGTTGGCGCGCCTATGGCCAAAACAAAATGACTGAATACATGGAATAAGGAAACGGGCATAAATTAACCAGTTTCATCTTTCGCCGAATACCCTTTCGCCTGCACAATGTCACAGTTTAATACATAACCACGAACAGATGTTAACAAAAATAATTTCAATAAATTCCACTTCAAACGGTTAAATATGAAATACCCTTTACTTTTAAAATATAGTATTAAAGTCCGTGATGATTAAAATCTTACTCTTCGTTAGTTTCCATGTGGTTTTCGGTGGAGTTTTCCATGTTTTCTGTGTCACGTTTCGGGTTGCGAAGACAGCATAATCACGATGAAATAAGTCGACGAGGGTCATCATATGGGTCATACCAATCTTTGAAGAGGGGTGCAAGTAAAGTACATTAAAGGAATCTTGATTCTTTATCATATTTTAACCCCCATAGATGAATATTAATGATTGTAATTACAAATGAATATTAATTTAATTGCCTGTATAAAGTTTTTTATTATCTCAATGAATAAATTTGGCAAGAACTATCGCCTTGTTAAAGAAACTGCCCCTACAACGTAAATTAGCATGACCTCTACTTCTAGAAATTTCTGAACCGATCCATGCGCATGTGACGGAGGGGTACCGTCTAAAATGCCAAATGCCGGGGGAAAAATACTCTACGTACTTCTTATTGAGATTAATGTTAAAAATTGTGGACTTGATAAAAAGATTTTAATTAAGATTTGTGGTAGTATCCTCTTTCCTAACCATCACTTTGGTATCGTTCGGAAAATGTAATGTAAAGCGGGCATTTCCCCATAGAGTTCTAAATTTTTCTAAAAATAGCTTTATGCGTTCAGGTCACCGGAAGTGCGACTTGCTCATCAGTCACACCGGAAGTTACGTAGTGAATAGGCTATAAAACAGTTAATAGTAATTTTCAGTTAATTTTCCAATTAATAATTTCAATACTAAGGAACGTTTAGTACTTTGCAATGATCATAATTTTCAGCTTCTAATCTCTACACTTTGAATCTAAATAATTATAATCCCACCCATCTTCACTTCATTTCTAGTATCGCAGCCCCCTCCTCTCCATTAAAAATGTACACACGCACATAATATTATGGGATTTCCACATACCACATGGGAAAATAAAGAGCAAAAGCGGCCAAAATATTATGATAATAATGATGACTTTCAAAGGGGGTCACAAATGATGAAATACACAAGAGTGTGAACAACTCATTTTTCACACAGCTGTACTCGTAGGGGGCGCTATCTAAACTTAACAGGACAGAAGTTTTGCGAATTCAGGCACGCCACTGGTAACCAGCCTTTTAGCTCGGGTCACGCGCGCATGGAGGACGGAATACCAGTGTTATACATAGCAACAGCATGAACGCTGCAGCAAATGACAGAAATCAAGTGCTGGTTGTTTTGCTAATTTTTGCCTCGTCGTTTTCGTGAGCTGTTTGGTGAACGGGGACTGAAACAAGTGAGATTTATTTCTTTTATAACATTTATTGAAATTTATTTGCTACCTTGTTTTAATTGATAAATTGTAAAGGGATGTTATGCAACTGGACGTCATGAACGTAGGCCTGATCGAAATCCCCTGGCCCTGCCTGATGAGCCTGCTGACATGGCTGAGGTCTCTCGTTTTAATTTTTGTACACAAAACGTATGGGCCAAGTACATGTAAAAAAAAAATTAACGCAGTGGCTATTGTTACGGCAGTCAACTGTCTGGTTCCCTGACCTAACGGATTCAACATCAGGATCTTTGGCTGTTTGAAACCAGACTATCAACCGAATGGTTCTCAGACTTTAGTTCCCTTTAAAAAAAATCTTTCAAATGCCACGGCTCGGATTATTAAAATAAAGAAGAAAATGAAATCTAGGCCAAGGCCCCCTACTTAACTCAAGATTTAAGTTCAATAAAAAGTATGATTTGATTAAAAACATAAAACTGTTAAGTAAATGAAACTGTAATTTAATTAGGCTAGGCTAGGCTTAAAAGGGAAAAAAAGTTTCGCAAAGCGCAGATTTGCTCCCTAGACCTTCGGCACGGTGGTTTAGCATTTAACCAATCGAGCTACCAAAGCGCTCTTTGGTTGGAAGGGCAGTTATAAATAGATAGATTCCCGATCGCATTACGGCAGCCGTAATGATAGCCACTACGAAAAAAATTAATCAGTTTCTCAATCTCATCTCCGCCCACTTCCTTTTATTACTGGTCGCCTCGTTTTTTATGTAGATTTTGGGTTATGGCTCCTTTTGACACAATTGTGTTTCACTTCAGCAAAATAGACATATAGGCGTAGTGGAGAGAATTGAAGAAAAATTCTCCCCCCCCCAAAAAAAAGAAAATCGCCAAGTTACACTAGCTAATGTTTGTTTTCAGGTTGGACAAGTAGTTTACTGAAGAAAACATCTGCCCAGCTGTGCTGAATTAATTTCCCCTTAAAGCCGCAAGCAGCATGGGGCAAACTCTGGCAAGGGCTGCCCAGTGGACCTCCGTCAGCGAGGGCGGGGAGGGCAAGTTGGAATTTAACAAGGCTAACGAACTCCTGCTGAACAGCTTCATCCGGTTTGTGGAGGCGTTCCCCTCCAAGCATCCACAAGAGGCAGCCCTTGTCTTCAAGACGCCCTTGGTGTGGAAGACGGTCTTGGACACTTCCGAGTTTAGTGGGGACTATGAACGAAGGTAAATGAAGAATTTCTTGATGTCATAGGCCTTGAAGCATATAGTGCTTTAAGGTTACGTAATGGTCAGAGAGAATTTTCGGGGAGGGGGAAAGGTGTCACAGAATATTGCGCCTTTGCCTTACTACAGCGCTTTGAAGCTATTCCGCAAAATAACTTCATTGTGGTACCAGCTGCTAAACATCAGAGTCGAACCAGCCAGCCAATCCCGGCAAGCTCGGTGGTTGAGTGGTAAGACGTCTGCACTAGAAAGCAGGAGGTCGTGGGTTCGAGTCCCACCCCAGTGATTTTTTCTCACTTTCACTCGGTGGGTAGCACACTCAGTAAACAGTGTTTATACATCGGTGAAGGGCAAAACCTGATATTGGATTTACATGAACCCGACGCAAATTCCATCTTATGAATACTATTCATAAGCAGAGTTTTCAGTTAAGCAGGGTTGTATATCATTGTTATACTACTGAAGGGAATGGATTCTTTGTTGGACTTCACAGTTGTTTTGAGTTATCAGAGTTTGACTTCTCAAGATTTCACTGTATTTGTGATGCACTTGTGATCCATCCCAAGTACCCAAATTACAACTCTGCTCATCAGTAACCATTTACAATTTCTCTTCCATAGTGATGATGGGCTCCGTTCCAAGGCCAGAGACAAGCATGACCAGCCCCTCCTGTTTGTGGAGAAACTGGGCGAGCTGAACCATAAAGTCCACGTATCTACACTGGGAGAGCTGAGCAATCTGCTCAAGGCAGCGGGCAACAAGAAGATGCAAGAAGCCAGAGCCATCTTGGAAGGTAAATTAATAACAAACTTTTTTTTGTTTTGTTTTAGAAGGAAAGTTTAACCCTGACCAGGTTTGAGATTCTTCAAAACCTGTTAGAAATTGTTTTAGTTGCAGGTTTGAGGAAGGTAGATGTAGAGCCTGGCCATATTAATTGACATTGCACTTGTTGCCACTTGAAAGTGCACTGTAGCCACATGTGCAACCTCAAAAGAAATTTGAGTAGCACTTTTAATTGTGAATATAAAAATTCTGTGTCTACATGGTCAGTAAACCCCTTTTAAGATAAAAAAAACATGAGGTGTTATGCTTAGTTTACGTATACTTTTATCAGTTTGATACAGTTTTGTGGTATATTGATCAGGAGTAAGTAGTTATGACATGTATATTTTTTTATTAAAGCCTATATTAAAAAGCAGACTGAGTGTTGCATTTTATTGTCAAAAGTTCAGATGTAACCTTTCTGATCAAGAAATATAGCTGACCTTCTACCAATGTTGTTACTGTTATGTTTGAGTTTTGTTAAAGGGAAAATACAACATTTGCAAACATCAAAAAATAAAACTACCAAATCATTTTGAAATACCTTGCTGGACTGTTAGTGAATGACAGTGTAAAGCATCCTGTAAAATCATGGCACCTGGTATACTGTCATTTTCAAGAAAAGTGGTATTTTGGTATCAATTTCCAACGCTGGTCGGCCGACCAGCGTTGGAAAAAAACTGGCTTTTTTTCAAATACTGGCCCCAATTGACCATCGCACTTGTTTGCAATCGATTACACACCTATGAACGGGTACTAGCCAGCTAGACTGGTTCCCTGACCTTACAATTCCCCAATGTAATTGTAAACTGCTCTGTTTCTTCTTATATGGAGTCAGGGAACCAGACTACAGGAAACTTATTGTTTTTCTTGGTTTTTATAGCATTTTCGAACCCAAAACCTCAAAAAAGTCAGTGTAACTATATTTGCTATATATTTCCAACCCCCCAATTCAATCCATTTCTGAAAATTACAGCAAAAGCAAATGATGTATATTCCCTTTAATGTTTATTAAGTGTATTAATAGTTTTCTGTAGTTCTGTTTCTAGTAACATTTGAAAAGTTAAAACCTTTTTTTTAAGATTAATCCCCTTTGTTATTTTGTCTAATTTTTATCTTTTAGCCAACCGAGACCCAGTAGCCAAGATCCTCGGAGACGGCTTTGCCACGGTGGAAGGGGAAGACAACTCCACCCTGCGCTTGCTGGATCAGGCCAGCAAGGAGTCAGGAGACCAGTCCGCCGAGGAGAACCAGACCAAGCTACGCCTTCTGCTGCTGACCCAACAGTTTGACATGGAGCTCATGAGGAACAGTATCAAGGAACTATCCCAGTAAGAACTCTTTCCAACACTTGCCTCGGGTAAACACTTAAAAAAATGAACTTGTAGCATTCTGTACTGGCAGATCTTGGAAGAAACGCTTTAATTTTGGACTTTATTATTGTAAATAGGGCAAGTGGTCACTAGAGACCTGTCGTCGTTTGTATGATGCTTCCATAGCTAACCCACACAGGGATGTCCAATTCTTGCAGCCACTTGGCTGTATCTTCATCAAGCTCTCGATCAGACCAGTGTGTCCGTGAGGGGGCTTGAAGATTGGGCAGGCTTGCAGGATGTGTTCTATTGTCTGTGGTGACCCACAAGGGCAGGTGTCATCGTCACAAGCACTGATCCGGTGGAGGAAGGAGCGGGTCTTACCCAACCCCGTGCAGAGGCAGTTCAGCCTTAGGCCTACCCCAGGGCTTGAATTGAACGACCGCAACGACGGCCAGTGCCGTCGTTGCCTTCTTACTGGCCAAGATGCCCCACAGAAAATCCCCGTTTTCACAGCCAGTTTTGCCATGCACCATATTTACCTTGGCCGTCATGTCCTTTTTGCAAACACATCCATAAGCCTATTACTGTCACTACAATCCTTGATTTCAGTAGTTTTTACACACATTGACATTGTATTTCGATGTCCTGCCAGCCCAAAAGGTTTTCTTAAAGGGAATATACATCATTTGCTTTCGCTGTAATTTTCAGAAATGGATGGAATTGGGGGGTTGGAAATATAAAGCAAATATAGTTACACTGACTTTTTGGAGGTTTTGGGTTCGAAAATGCTATAAAAACCAAGAAAAACGATCATTTTCCTGTAGTCTGGTTCCCCGACTCCATATAAGAAGAAACAGAGCAGTTTACATACATTGGGGAATTGTAAGGTCAGGGAACCAGTCTAGCTGGCTCGTACCCGTTCATAGGTTTGTAATCGATTGCAAACAAGTGCAATGGTCAATTGGGGCCAGTATTTGAAAAAAAAGCCAGTTGTTTCCAACGCTGATCGGCCGATCAGCGTTGGAAATTGATACAAAAATACCACTTTTCTTGAAAATGACAGTATACCAGGTGCCATAATTTTACAGGATGCTTTAGACTGTCATTTACCAACATCCTATTAAGGTATTTCGCAAAAACATGGTAGTTTTATTTTTGGATGTTTGCAAATGTTGTATATTCCCTTTAACATCTTCCTGAATCAATCACACAAAGGCCAGGTAAACAGTGCATACTTTGTTAGCACAAATTGAATCTGGCTTTGCAATTACCCATGCACTGTACATGAACTGTACGATGTACGATGCACATGTACATGTACCACAACTGAATCTAGTCCAGTTCTGGAGTGTGCCGATACTTCAAGCAGGGACACCCCCGCTTCAAAAATAAATAAAGGGAAAAAGCATTTGAAGTATTTGCCTCATTAAGAAACATTGTTTTACTGTCAATAAGGTGGCATAAAAAGGTTCTTTAATTTAAGCCTTCCTGAAGTGCTATAAAGGAAATATTGATATGGAAAATGTGTGCATAATTACATAAATTATATCACAATATTCAATGAAATTTGTATCCATTGTCTCTCCCTGTTTTTGTTTGCTCACAGAGAAATCCGCTTGACGCCTCAGCTGGTCAACAACGAGATCCACCTGCTGCAGTCCTTTGCTGGTACGGACGGCGGCTGTGCCTTGGAGAGCATCCAGCATGTCTTGGAGTATGAGTTTGACAACGGCTGCCACGCCCCACCCTGGAGGCAGGTCAACGGTGATATCTGCTACCTGGTGGTCAAGCCGCTGGACGGAGATGAGATGTCGGTCACTGCTAACACCAGCGGATGCTACGTCAACAAGGTTAGTCAAGGTCCATGTCTGTCCTGGTCCATGTGGATTGGGTTTTCAGTCCCTACCTGATTCCGTGAGTTTTCCCCTGAATATTCTTCTGGTGTTTTCCTCTCACCTCTAAAACTGTAATTATATTATCGTTGTCTCCTCTGTACAGAGTTCTTCAGGCTTGTGAGCTACAGTACCTAGGGCTCTTTTGAGGAATCCTTGATTTCATGACCAGAAATAAATTATAATAATATCATAATAATAAAGAGCTGCCCTTCGATGGCAAAACAGGGGGAAAAAAAGGCAACATTTGCCAACTTTTATCAACTTGCAAAGTGGAATGTCACAAACTTGCATTAATGTGCATTTTCAAACAAGCATGAACTGGTAATAAATGACCGCAAAAAAAAGAAGTAATTTTGCTTGAGTTGAAATGTTTTCAACTTTTGTAAATTAGCAGCATGCACACATTGTCACTGTTTTCTCGAAAAGTGTAATATCCACTGAGCTGAAAGTTCAACAGGTTAGGTTTGAACGTTCTTCTTTGGATTTTGAGTGGTGGTTTGGATTTTGGAAACAAACAAATGGCATAAAGAACACATGATCCTTTAAAGCCAGAGTCCATCATTTGCAACTATCCAAAAAGTAACCGGAGTTATTATTGTTAAAAAACATATTTGGTTGAAAGATAGTAAGGGGACTAAACTCCCTGTGAAATTATTCTTTCTGGCAAGCTGTCATTTTGAAGAAATCAACAAAAGAAGGCCTTTCCAACAGTGCTTCTTAAGAAGCACCGTAGGAAATTCAAATTAGTAGTTCGTTTTGTTTTTCGGTGAAGCGCGCGCAAGCATTGGCACGACGCACACGCGCGCGCGGTTGCTATAATTCGTCGGATCGGTGCACGACATGCGTAGCTGCATTCGGCTCAGTGAGAACGTGTCTCGGACGCTGAATTTAGGCCCAATTCAAAACGTGATTCAGCAACTTCTGATTTGAAATCGAGATCCTAGAATGTTGTTTTTCTCGAAATATACAGCTAAAGCTCAGCTGAAACTTCATCAGGGTAGTCGTTCAGCACCCTTCTTTAGAGCTTGGGTACTTTTTTTGCTTCAAACGAACAAAATGCACAAATTACAAATGATGGACTATACCTTTAAAATGTTTGCACATGTATATAGAAGGTTCTGGGTTCACATTCAAACTAGACAGAAATACACCAGTGAAAGGGAAGACACTATATTGCCCACAAAGTCGGCAAAGCCATTCCTTCCTTAAAGTGTGCTATTTTTTTTACCCCAATTATTTTATGAATTTCATATTTTATTCCAGACTATGGCCAAAATGTAAAGTTTTTCTCTTCACATTCTTTTAACAATGCTTTAGGGAGTTACCAGCAACATGGATGATTCTAACTTTGACCGGGAGGGGGAGACCTACAAGGATCTGGTCAGCCTCCTGTCTGCCAAGAGCCGCAAATTCCAAGACATGATCAACAGCAAGGAGTTTGCCCTGCACGAGGAAAAGAAGACAGAACAGCTCAACGCTTACGAGGATGCCAACGCGGATGACGAGCCAGACAGACCCATGGAGAGGGAGAAGACTAAGGAGGAGAAAGAAGAGAAGGTCATCAAGGAAAAGGTCAGAGTTCGACAGAGGTCATGTTGAGATATTGATGTTATATTAGGCAGTGTCTGATGAATTATTGGCTGCAGCCGGTAAATACACATGGCTACCAAGGTTGAAGCCACATCCCATAGATTAGTACGTACTATTAGCCGTAACCAAGTAATTTAGACACGGCCTTAGGGACCCATAAGTTTTTAAGCTGTCAGGCTGACGATGATGCTAGGAAAGTTTAAGGGCTAAGCAGAAACCAGCTGAGTACCAGTCATGAGTGATATACACCGCATGACTCTTTGGCTGGTAACCCGTCTTTGCTAACCAAATACTTTTATGTACTAAGCACATTTTTTGTGTGTGCTAAGCAGCCTGTGATATACTTTTGCAGAGTGGAACTAAAGTAACCATTCAAATAGTGTGTTCTTTTAAATAATCCTTTTAAAATTCTTCAAACTCTAAGAATATGGTGAGAATCGTAGGTCCTGTTTTGAAGATAGAATTTGGGTACATCTGAACTGAAAATGACTCTCTGAAAACAAGCAAGAATATCCTGGGCTTGTATTTTTGTTATTTGATATAGATTGTCAGTATTCACAAGGCCGTTCTCTATGCACAGAAAACATGTCTTGTTGATTAGTGCATCACCTTAACATCCAAATGCTGAAAGATGTTTTATTTCCAGTAATGATATTCAGTATTTGTGAAAGCTGGACGACCTTCCACTGGATGACCATTCACTACATGTAGATGAATACTATTTTCGTTGTTATTTCTTTATGCATAGACCAGGAAATCCAAGAAGAAGACATCCCCCAGCAAGAAGATGCAGCCCACACTGAACTGGAAGAATGAGGAGAACAAAGGCAAGCAAGAGAAGGTTGATAAACCAGAGAAGAAAGTATCCAGGCAAGCAAGGTGAGAGCTGACAGAGAATAAACTGATCCATTAAGCCCCACCCACTGCACACGTAGGCAACAAGAGGGGGACCTCTCCAATGCCACACTGCATGTTCTAGCTAGGCACATCATACACGCATGCATCATGCATGTTGGTTCCGTTAAGCCCCGCCCACTGCACACATGGGGCGGATTGCAATAACCGGTCTTAAAGCTGTCTATGCGCATTAGACGGTCTCAAAGCTCTGGCTGTCAGTCAGTCTATAAGTAAGACCATTGCAATGACACGGTCTAAGTATTAAGACAGTCTTTAGTTAGCCTGGGTTGGGCTGGCTTAAAGCGGTCTATAGTTGGGATTTTTGGAATTCACTGGTGTGTTGAATTATTCTTTCCCAAAATGTTTTTTTTTTCAGTTGGTGAGTGTTTGATAATCTTAAAATAGCAGAACACTGCTTGGAGGGAAAATTCTCTGGGATAGAAGAGATCTTCTGGAAAAATGTAATGACACTGAGTTGTACTGCAAATACAATTTTCTCAACATACAATTTCGGAATTGACAGATTTGATTTTGAATGATTGAATCACACAAACCTAAAAAAAAAATCGTGCAGTCTCTCCAGTATTCGCCTGTAACCATGGAATGTTTGTTTGTGAATCATTACTCTAAGCGGGCTTAGTAAAGACCAGCTTATTGCAATGGGCTAAGTTTGGTGTCTTAACCAAGACCGTCTAAGAACAACAGCCGGCTAAAATCGGACTGGTTTAGCCAGCCGACTAAGACCGCGTTATTGCAATCTGCCCCTGAGCAACAACAGGTGCACTTCTCCAATGCCACGCTGCATGTTCTCGCTAGGCACATCATACGCGCATGCACGCATGTTGGACTTTTGCGCACGCATGTTGAAAATTGAACACTATGGGGTGGGGCTTAACCCTAAAAGGGCAAAGGGGGGGGGGGCCTCGACTTTTTCCGTGATAGCCTTTCTGCGATAGCTATCATAAAATTGTAAGTTAGTGACAACTTTGGTACAGTTCATTTTGTTAAGTTCATTGCTTTGACTTGAGAATTGTTGCCTTGTGACTTACCTGTGACTGACTCGTGGCGACTTGACTTAGCTCCGGTAATTCACCCAACTTTAGCACAGTATTTTCTGAAAGCTCATGGGAAAAAATGCACTGGGGTGGGACTTGGCATTTCAAACAGCAATCTTGCTGTGGTTGTGGATTTGAATCTAAATTTAAACAAGAGATTGTGGTTCACTGAACATATCAAACTGAAATTTAAAGCAGTGGACTGGATATTGAATCACCGAATATAGTGCATTATATAACTGACATACAGATCCTAGTCATTTGATTGGTGGAAGTTACATCACATGACATTCGTTATTGCTCCCATTCACGCCGTGGCTCAAAAAGTACTATCCGCCCATGGGGAATGGGAAATACTATTCAACAGTTAGGATCATGACGCGGTATTTGTGTGCAAATGAATGCAGGTGTGCGCGTTCAGCGTTGCGCGTAGCGCGTATTGTTCCAAAGAGCCAGGGCTACAGCGTTAGGTTCAAACTTTTTCATGAAGGGGTGGTTTGGAAGAGAGAAATAGATTTTCCTTCAGTTTTGTATTGAAAAATAAAGTTCAAATATATCAAATGACAAGGATCTATATGTCAGTTATATAAAACAAATATTGAGTGGCTTTAAATTGTGAAATGGGAGGAATATTATCGCTCGGTAAAATCTGGACTTTTCCATTTCTCTCGGCTTCGCCTCGTGAAATGGATTCCAGATTTTACCTTGCGATAATATTCCTCCCATTTCACGCTGAGCCACTCAATATTTGTATAATAGCCCACTGGGTATTTTGAGCTCTATTACTAGATATTTGATCATAAATTGATATCCCATGTGATTTTTTGCAGCGATCGTAAGACCAAGACCCCTGCCCTTGAGGAGGAATACTCAGAGAGTTCCTCGGAGAGTGAAGAGGAGGAGGAATCAACTGACAGACGGCAGGAGCAGAACTCAGACTTACCGTCAGAGTACTGGCAGATTCAGAAACTGGTCAAATACCTCAAGGTATGTTATATGAAAGTGTTTAACATTACAGTGAGTCGTTTGGAATGCCAAATAATATCACTGTAGTAATCAGGTTGTTAAGTTTTCGAAAGTTGCCTTTTCTGTAGCTCCGATCATCAAAATTGAGGTCATGTTGCCAGGAGCATAACCAAAACATATTTCTGACTTAGATACTACATGACCAAATCATTGTCTACCCAATTTAACCAAAAGAAATGGTTACACCTTTGCAATTTGCCCATTAAACACTCACTGTACTGTGCCGAAAAAAATGTATTAGTGAGCAACACAAATCGTTCAAGTAGATGTCATTTGTGTTAAGACACTTTTCCCCATCTATATTAACCTGACATGTTCTTGCACAAGTTACTGTAGTCTCAGTAATCGGCAAAACCCCAAATCATAAATTTCACACACAGCAAATTCGTGACAGCAAATTCAAATCATCTGCTTGCCGTTTGACAATTGGTATGAAAGGTTGAACTGCCTATCACCTTTGATTCTCGTTTGCTCAAGTGATGTTTATGTGGCTGAAACAAAACAAAAACATGTTTCTTGTTTCGGTCTGAAAAAAAAACCCCACCCCTCAGGACCAGATGCCCCTTTAGATCTGTTGTTATCCTGACGAGAGAGACTCCTGATATTTCTCTTTCTCAGGGAGGCAACCAGACGGCCACAGTGATTGCCCTGTGTGCCATGAGAGACTTCAACCTGTCTCAAGAGACCTGCCAGCTGGCTATCAGGGACGTCGGGGGACTAGACGTCCTTATTAACCTGCTGGAGACTAATGCCATCAAGTGCAAGGTTGGTCCTCATTTTTATATTTCTTAAATTGTAAGCAAAGTTATCATTTCTTTTTTGGGGGGAATAATGTAATTTGTGTTGCAGTGGCAGCTAATAGAGCAATGGACAATGTGAAACAAAAGTCAAAATTAAGAATTACAAATTCTTGAATTCCAAACCAGATTGGCTCGCTGAAGATCCTGAAGGAGATATCGCGGAACACCCAGATCCGTAAGGCCATCGCAGACCTGGGAGGCCTACAGACCATGGTGGACATCCTGCAGGCCTCCGACAAGGACCTCAAGTGTCTGTCGGCTGAGACTATCGCCAACGTGGCCAAGTTCAGGAGGGCTCGTCGCACAGTCAGGCAGCACGGAGGCATCAGGAAGCTGGTCAGTCACGTCTGAATCATGCCCCACCCAACTGCTAACGCAAAGCAAATTTGACATCAGGAAATATTTCAGTAAACTTCGCCAGAGATGGAATGTGTTCAATAGTTGTGAATTTGCAGTACAGATACTTGCCGTGTTTGCATTTACGTTTGCTTTATGCAAAGTACGAAGCAGCCAAACTGCTGTCATTTTTTTCATAGGCAATTCCAGCATAATGAAAGGTAATATACTGTCCGTGACAGAGACAATTTAACCATGATATCTAATTAGGGAGGAGATCAAAAGGATTTTTCCCGTTCCGACGCGAGCGAACGGGAGGAACGGGCCTATTGTTCCTAATCCCCCCGGGCGCCCGCGTTCGCCTGGGCCCCGTTCCGATCGCGGGATCACGCCCGAAATTGCCTAACAATAGCACAATGAAATGGTCACGCTGAGTGCCCACAGCGCGGTAGTACAATAGAACTGTGTGGTGACGACCGTGGATAGTGGAACTGCACAAATAATATCCGAAGAATCATCGACCACACTGAAATTGACAAGGAGACTTTGGAAATACGTGTAATGGTTGCGATAAAATAATGTTTGTTGCTTCTTCATCTCTTGCAGGCGATGTATAGTTGAAGATGGATAGCGAATTATTTTGTTAAAATGTTCAACAAATTGAGAAGACGTCTCGGGAAGTAGAGTTACACGTACACGTTTTATAATTTTGTGTATTAAAGGGAAATGTGCAACAATTTACTCCCCGAACGTTGCTGTTTAGCCGGGAAACAAAAAGCTTGGTGGTGTGTGAGATAATTGCTACAGTAATGTCGGTATTGTACAAAAATAGAAGGGGATAAAAATTATTGGGGAACAACCTTGACGGAACTTTTTTTGTTTTCCTTCTCACGATTATGTAGGCCTAGATTATTTTTCTTTTCTTTTTAAAACACATTTCGTAGATGTAACTTTCATCAGAGGGGAACTTGCCAAAATGTGAAGTTATCAAAACTGAATGGGAAGGTAGCAACATTTGTCATGGTGTTAATAAGATTTATAACGGAATGGACATTTAAATAGGTTTGTGAAATGTGGGTTATTTATACCGGAGACGGATTAGGTGTGTAAATGGTCTGTGGGTGTATTTAGGTGTGATCACAGCAAACAACCTTGGCCCTGCCACGAACCACGATCTTCGGCGATTCAGGTACACTACAGTCCTGCAAAAGTCTCGGCAAGGTTTAATTCAGCGACTACTACACTAAATAGAATTTTGAAGACGGACACCATGGGAAAATAGGTAAGTAGCTGGGGAACTCTTACCAATATTGTAAAGGGCAAAACCTGCAAATTTCTATTTTAAAATTGAATTTCTAAAAACCAGCGAGATAGCGGTGGCCGGCACCAGGCCCAGCTTATAACTTGCATTCGTCAGGTTGGCCTCTTGCAGCGATCACTTGAAAAATCGTCGTCAACTTCCCAATAGTTTTGACAAAGGATTCCCTGAATGTCATTTCGAAAAATCATTGGGAGAGATTTCCTTTTTGTAATTTTTGAAAATGTTCTCATTCTCCGATGTCTGGAGCTAAGCGGCAGTCTGGCGTGCACGTGATGCGAGCCGAACAACGAAAGGCACGAAACTTACGTGCGACGGCCGTCCGCCGATCCGATGTGAAGTCTACACATGCGAACGCACGTGGCCATGGGTGAAATGATATCGCATAACGAATTTTCTTATTGGCTAACGCGATGTCAACAAAGACTTGCTTTCAGCAACCTAAAAGCGTTTAGTTAAATACAAAATCGTTGGGACACTTTGCTTCCTTGATTCCCAACAATTTCTCCCAAAAATGTCATTGAAATTGGTTTTCATGATGCATGGCGTCCCTAGGCTCAAAAGTCGTGTAGCTTGCGGTCAACCAATAGAATTGCTTGTTGGGTACCCCGTACAGACATTGCCGTGGGTGGGGATTCCCCTAGCACGCAATACCGCGCTGAGCTGTAAAAAGCTAGCTAGCGCAGAAAATGCATGACGCACGCACACGTATACGGCGAAACATGATCATGAGACACACGGACCAGACGTAACTTAATTATAGGCCACGATGCTTTCTTTTGGTATTGAGATGCCACCAATATATCAATAAAAAACTGAAACATTACTAAAAAAAAAACCTGAAACTACCCTTAGGCCTACGCTCTTTTAAGAATGTGTTTTCTGGATGTTTCAGACTGAAATCCATCACTTTTAATATGTCACCTATTTGGGTCGGTCGGGTGATCCGAACCAAAGGTATTTTTTATTTGGTCCAAGGAATTATAAGGACGGCCAAATCATTGGTATCGATACGCGATATAATGGGGATGGGCATAGTAAAAATAAACTGCGTAAACAAAAATGATCGAATAATTGCACAGGTCAATCAGTGTATCAAAATATAACATGTACATGTGTTTTATTCTCCGATAAATTATGCCATCGAAAAAGAACAGTGATTTTACGACGCACAAGGTAATTATTTTTTTGATTTAGATAATATTTACATCAAACAATTATTTACATGTACACAAATTTACGCAATACAACATGGGACAAACACAATTCTTCAGAAACCTATATATTATACATGTTAAAATATATTCCAAAATATATTCTAGAGTAGAACATGTACCGGTACACGAAATAATGTAGGCCATGTGTTTTTTTTTCAATAAATGAAGAATAAAATCGTCATTCTTTTTTTTTATTTTCCCGGCCTCAGAGAGAGATTTACGTCTGGTTCTCTAAATATTTTTTTAAAAGCAAAATGATTTAAACAAAAACCTAGCCCGTTAAAGTTTGCACTCTAAGTTAATTCTTTTGTAGATTCCAGGGGAAATTTAATACGAATTATGCTCGGTTTTTCTTATTTTTAAATGAATATGATCAGGATTAACAACATCCCTCAAATAATAGCGTCAAAATATATTCCAAAATATATTCTAGAGTAAAACATTTTCACAAAATAATGTAGGCCATGCGTTTTATTTTTTAAATACACGAAGAATTAATCGTCATCCCTTTTATATTGTCCCGGCCTCAGATAGAGAGAGACATCAAATAAATATGGGTTACTTTAACACGATTCAGTATGTCTTGTTCTCTCGATTTATTTTTAAAGTAAAACGATTTCAAACACCCTAGCCCATTAAGTTCTGAACTCTCAGTTAATTCTTTTGTAGATTCCAGGGGAAATTATAATACGAATTATGTTTAGCTTTTCCTATTTTTAAAAGGAATACGAATAAGATTATCAACAGCCCTTTGACTTCAAACTTAATTTCAAAATGTATTCCGAAATAATTATATTCTAGAGTAACATTTACAAAAATAATGTAGGCCATGCAGTTTTATTTTTTAAATAAGCGAAGAATAAAATCGTACTACGAAAAACAGACATCGGGAGCCCTACATTTAATGAATTATTTGGACTTGGAATATCATCCCCCAATCGTTTATCTATGTGCATGTACACAACACGGAGGTGAAAGTTCATGTTCAATTCAGTTTCCCACATTTTTCGCGAAAATGATATTATTAATGATGATGGAAGCAAAAAAAAAAAAAATGGATCCGCCCCTGGCTGGACATAATGCAATGCATATACCTTTATACAATGTATTTAGCGTCTAGGGTGTACCTTCTTCCTATGATCATCCTTGTCTTTCTTACTGGTGAAGACATACTTGCACCCGGCTCCACACCTTCCTAGATCCTTGTCCTTGAAAAGGGGCATGTGTTCACAAGGCAAGTCCCTAGGAAGATGCAGAGCCTCCATGAATGTAACGAAATGACCAGGATGATCATAGGAAGGCTTCGGAGTTGGAAAGTCCCGTACACACTGCAGCATCTCATCAGCTACAGGTGGGTTGGACACGCAGTGTTGACACGCTGGATCGGTGCATTTAGCGAATATTACCATCCCAATGCGCCGATCCATGTGTCGAATGGCGAATAAGTATTCGCCATTCACTGCCCTGTCCTCCCGCAACCTTGCAGCCGATGATGACACTGCAGCATGTACCCGCTCGAAGTCGTCAAACGGGGCATCTGGTGAGCCACTGGGTGTGTTAATTGTCTGGACCGGTTTCTTGGCGTAGGTCAAATCGGCCCAGTACCCCTTCATGCTGGTCATGGCGCCGTCGAAGATGACCTTCTCCTTCTCCCGACGATCTTCTGCAGTCAGACTGCTTTGCTGGCTGGGCGGCTTTTCCCCCGGGAGCGCTGCTGGGAAGGAGGTCGATGCAAGTGCCTTGGTGCAAGGTGCCCACAGCCGCTCCACTGGGTTCAGGGCGGAGTGGCCGGGACAGTAGCTGGTGGCAATAAGGGCGTCCAGCTTGCACTGCTTGAAGAGGCGGCCATAGTACAACAAGTTAACCGCATGGTTAACATTGAAGTCTGGGCCGCCATCTGCAATCAGTACAAGCAGAGAACGCCCATTTGCCACCTCTTCCTCCAACTTGACATGGTTGATCATGTCGTTAAGATGAGTGGAGATGTGGCACGGGTTGTGCGGGCTCCTGTTGACGATGACGGCATTGCTTCTTGTGGGAAGTCTGAACAGGAAGAAACAAAGCATAATACACGTACATGTAAATAAAAGCACAAGCTGGGGTTGAAACTACAAAAAGATGCGTGCTCATTTACGCTAGGGTCGTCTATCAGTCCTTGCATTATTACCGCACAGTCATCACGATGGGCCAAATCCAAATTTCAAGAATGCTAATTTCTCCATGATTTGACAAGCTGCTCCAGACGTAAATAATTACCCACGCCATATAGTTGCGCATGATTAAAATGAAAATTGACCTTGTTCTGCATGTGTATTTTCAAGCGTATCCGCGATGTTCAACGTGAATGAAATAACCGTCTTGAAAACACGCCGCGAATGTTATCCGCTGTTTACCGAAAAATTCCCTGACAATTTTACGCGTCTATATAGTGCATAATACAGAAAAAATCAAGCAAGTTGGTGAAG